ACACTTCTCTCATTGTTGTCTATTTCATTTATAATAAATTTGTCTATTATTCACTTTCCTTTACTCTTATCAATTGGTCCGACCTGCCACTACGAATGACGCGCATGGACTCTCGAGTTGAAGAGTGCACGAGCAATGCCTCATTAATGTCCCATCTCCAAACTTACAGAGTGGGTCACCCATTTGTTGTCAATGGGGGCGACACCTCCTAAGTCGATCACATCAACATCTCTAAACCACACACCCCACAAAATGTCCACATACGAACTGAGATCCCATGTTGTGTAGGTCTGAACAATATTTTACCTTCAACAGCACACGAGACGAGTTACGAGTTCCCATGAGATGGCTACAACATTCGATGCTGACATGGTCGCACCTTAAATCTAATTTGGTGGCGATTTGTCTGCCCCACCAATTGAGTTGTTAGTTGTTCTCCGTCAAGTTGGTACGATGGATGAATATTGCAATGAGTTTCATGTCTGGGCTGCCCATATCTCTGGGATACCTTCTCATATCTAGTTATTGTTGTTTCTGAATTGGCTCAAGGAAGAGATCCGTGTTCGTTTTCGCCCAAATGATGCTAATGATTTACGTACAACAAAGCGGGTTGCGCGCGAACCATGACAAACATGTTATTCAATCTGCAGGAGTGAAGAGGTGGAGTACGGGTTTCGGTTTGGGTAGGACTCCAAGACCGTTCGCCAATGCAAACTTGTCTAGTCCAAACACACATCATCAACAAACCCCGCCACTCTTACGCACAACAATTTCCATAAAACCATGAAGGGAAATATTCTTATGCCACCTTCTCAAACTCCATGTGTCGGTATATCTTTCCAGCGAGATTCGGCTCCTTCAGTTGATCAAAAGGATATTCGGCGTTATTCTCACTAGGAATACCAGCACCTACGTGCGAAAGGACTTTGTTTCCGATGCAAACAACCCTACATCTCGATGCATGTTTGTCTAAATAAATCATTGCTGTCATTAATCGCAGTAGAAGATGAGGACACTAACACCGATGACCCACCTGGGGTATATACCATGGGTGATGCCCCATTACAAGTTTTTGACCTGCCCCTCTCTTCCATTGGAGGTATCGGCCGTCCCCAAACAATGAAATTTCGCGGCCGAGTGGAGCGATGTGGTTGTTATGATTGACAGCGGGGCAAGTCATAATTTTATCTCATCTGACTTGGCAGCCAAGCTCGCCACAACCCCTTTTTGTGTTTGCTTGGGCGACGGACGCCGGTCTGAATCCTCTAGTTAATTTTCCAAACTTCGAGTTCACTTGGGGCCTCTTACAATGACCATTGGCCTATTACAATGACCATCAATTGCTTTGCTTTTCCCTCAGTTGTTGTCGATTTAATTCTAGGGGTTACTTGGCTTGCATCTCTCGGCTCTATCCACGCTAATTGGGCTACAATGACAATGGAATTTGAAGATCATGGGCAGTGCATCACTTTGACTGGAGATTCGACTCTTTCTCGCCTCCCAATCTCCTTTAACTATGTCGAATATTTGGAAGATGTTGAGTATTCATCCTTCTGTAAATATCATCATTTCAGCTCAACACCTGCCATCATTGCCCCTCCTTGGTCCTAATCAACTGAATTGGAGGAGCTACTCAATGATTACTTGCAAGTCTTTGGTGAACCTGAGGACTGTCACTGGTTCGACATAATGACCACAAGATTATTCTACAACCGGGCACAACACCGGTTAGCGTTAAGAGGTATCGATATGGCCACACCCAAAAGGACGAAATTGAACGATTGGTAGGTGAAATGCATGCAGGGGTGTCATTCAACCTAGTGTCAGCCCTTTCTCCACCCGATTTTACTCGTCACGAAAAAAGATGCTAGCTGGCGTTTTTGCATCGTTTATCGTGAGTTAAAGAAATTCACAATTGCAGATAAATACACCATTCCAGTTATCCAAGAGATGCTCGACGAACTACATGGCTCCATATATTTCTCCAAGATCGTTCTTTGGTCCGGATACCATCAGACTCGAGTAGTGCCAGAAGACATTTTAAAGATAGCCTTCCGTACTCATCCAGCCACTATTTCCTCGTCATGCATTTCGGCCTCACCAATGCTCCTGCTACCTTTCAAGCCACTATGAATGACATATTTCGCCATCATTTGCGTCATTTTGTGTTGGTTTTCTTTGACAACATTTTAGTAGCTGGAAGGATCATCTGAAATCAGTGGTTTTGAATATCTTACAGGTTTCATCAGTTAAGAGCTTATCCGAAGAAATGTCAATTTTGTCAGTCTTCAGTGGTTTTTCTCATTTCGGGGTGGCTATGGACCCCGCCAAAGTCTCCAGCATCCTCCGTTGGCTGGTACCTCAATCCTTAAAAGTAGTTTGTGGATTTTTGGAGTTCGTCGATTTTTGGGATAACTTGCTATTACCTTCGATTTATTTAGCACTATGGCTCAATTGCCAATCCTCTCACCACACTTTTGAAGAAGGATTGTGTGGCTTCATATTAATGGCCCGAGACAGCACAATCTACTTTTGATGCTTTGAAGAATGCCGTTACCACTTCCCTAGTCTTGCCATGCCAGACTTCTCAAGACCATTTATTATTGAATGTGATGCATCGGGAACTGGGGTAGGAGAAACCGTTCTGCTGCCAGAACGTCGCCCCATTGCCTTCTTTAGCAATGACCTCTCGGGGAAGACTTTATCTAAATCTACCTACGAAAAGGTATTAATGGCTCTTGTGATAGCTATTCAACGCTGGAGGTCGCATCTCATAGGTCGTTGTTTCATAGTACGGACTGACCACCAGAGTCTATTCTATAAGGTCGAATTGTGATTCCTTCTAATTGAAGTTAGACCTCTCGACTCTCGAGTAGTTCCATTCCACTCCAATAGGAGGGCATTCAGGTGCATACAGCACATATCGACTTCGACTTGCTGCAAGTGTTTATTGGTCCAAAAATTTGTGGCAGACTGTCTAGTTTGCTAGAAGCACAAATATGAAACTTTGTCACCTGGTGGCGTGCTCCAACCTCTCCCTATTCTCTCCCTATTCCGACAATGGTTGGGGAAAACATTTCAATGGACTTCATTACAGGTTTTGATTGGCTCGACTGCATTTGGGTGGTGGTTTACAGGTTATCCAAATATGCCCACTTTCTTGGACTTCGACATCCGTTCACCGCTAGATCTCTAGCTGATCATTTTGCAAAGAAAATCGTCCGCTTTCACGGCGTGCCCAATTCGATTGTAAGTGACCAAGACCCAATATTTTTAAACCACTTTTGGACCGAGTACTTTGCCAAGATTGGGACAAGTCTTAAAATGAGCAGTGCTTACCACCCCCACACCGACGGACAAACCGAAGTACTCAATCGTTGTTTTGAGCAATACCTTCGTTGTTTTGCTTCCGAACAACCGCGGCAGTGAGACAAGTGTCTTCAATGGGTAGTTTACAACACTTTTTTTTCAGGGAGCTGCTCAAAGGACCCCCTTTGAGATTGTGTATGGCAGGACTCCTCTAACCTTGCAACAATATTTACCTGGTGAGTTTTGGGTGGCAGCAGTGGCCAATGCTCACTCTGATCACAATGAATTACACCGTTAGCTTCGTTTTAATGTGGAGAAAGCTCAACATCGCATGACAAAAGTTGCAAACTGTACAAGGTGTGACGTTGAGTTTAATGTGGGTGATAGTGCCCTTCTCAAGCTTCTCCCTCACAAGCAAAAACACTCTTCTCAACAAATTGAACCAAAAGTTAGCCCCTCGATATTGTCCTTTCTTGATTTTGCATAAGTTGAGTGCGGTTGCTTACAAGCTTCAGCTTCCCTCTCCTTGTTCATCCAGACTTTCATATTTCACAACTTAAGCCTGAGGTCACCATCCTGTTATCCAGGATATCCCTGACGAGCTTCAAGTGGAGGAGGTCGGCTACAACCATACGACATGTAAACGGACATCTACTGGTACCACACCACAATTACTGGTCCAATGGGAGGGACACACTACTGATGATGCCACGTGGTTGGATCTCTCATATGGGCATTTTCCTACTTCTAGCCTTGTGGAAAAAGGCTATTTCTCTGGCGGGTTGTAATTATAGATATGCCGAAAAAAAGGTTGAAAAACAATGGATTGTCTACCCCAAGGAAAGGGGAAGCAGGAAATGAATAAATGAAATGTGGGAATAAAATCAGCAATGCAATATGGGAAGACTGAATTAGTGGATTTATATGGATTCCGGGAGAGAATAGAAAGCTATTAATTAGTTATCTTACCTTATAATTATTATCCTATTACCTTATATAAATAATAATAATAATCTTATTAAGAGTTAATGCTCCCTTACCCACGGTGGGCACATGTTAATATGACCACCGACCAATGTGTGCATGCCACATAAGCGGTGGTCATATTAACATGTGCACACCGTAGGTAGGGGAGCATTACTCATCTTATTAAACAGAGTGAGGAAGTGAGAATTAGACATCAAGGATAAATAATCTTAATAGCTAGGCTATTGGCCAAGTTATCTTGCTGGGAAGTTTTACATTTATGTCATTGTTCTCTCTTTCATTTATAATAAATTTGTCTATTCATTCCCCTTTTTTTATTTCTTTGATCCTTTACTCCTATCAATATCATTTCGGATAAAGTATTTGAACGGAATCAAATGGTTTGAATTCATTGAATAAGATTTCCTAAAGTTTGAAAATATTTAAGGAAAATCTTATCCTGGTGATTTGATGTCATCTGCTTGTTAAGTAATTACTGTAATATTTAGCTGCACACTTTTGCATATCGTTTACGGACATTTTCTTTTTTACACGTAATAGAATAAAAAAATAGTTCAGAATTTTTTTTGCCTTTTCCTATTACCTCAGGATGGTTGACTTAATGTGGTCGCTCACCAAAAAGTTCCTCCACATTATACAATGTACTGAAATCGAGCCAACATCCAAACCCATGAGGCCCTCTTCAAGTTTCATGTTTTTCATGTATGCCAGGTGTGTAACTGTTGTGAACCTCATGAACTGCGTGTCGCTGCAATCATCTTTTTTGAAATTTATCAATATCTGCTATGAAATTATGCTACCCCTCTATCTTTCAGAAAGCATCTTTATTTGTTATTTGATTACAATGCGCGTTAAATGTGACATCATCTTTTAATTTTTGTGCCGTATAAGTCTTTGTTCTTGGAAACTTTCTCATTCCATGAACATGAGAGGAGTTTAAATTATCTATCCAAAATTAGCTTATATCCTAGGCAAGCGATTCTTCTGGTATTATTTGGTAGAAGCGGCCGTCGCAGGTTTTGGTAAATAAGCAAACCATTCATTATTTCGGTTATTTTGGTTTTTAATTGCTCGTTAGATTTTTTTTTTTTATTTTTTTTTTTCTGACCAGCGATATATTTAAATTGTTCATAGCATTGATTTTTTTTACCATGAAGTTCTGATTCCAATTATTAATTATTTCTCTTATCTTCACATATTATTACCATTTTTCAGACGTAAGTATTGCCTTTCTTTTCTCTCCTTCTTTTGGTGGCAGTTTGATTAGTTTCATTTGAAGCATAGAGAAATTTGTTTGAGTGGGTTTTGGACAAAATAGGGAGAACATATTTGTTTTCTATGCTATAGTTTTTGTAAATGACTTGTTGGTTGAATTAATACTGTGAAACTCGGAATTATTTTTGGAGAAGTTTCAGTCGATTTGAATGATATCTGATCAGCTAATACGATACTGAAAGAAACATATGTACAGTAGTGGTGCTATCTTTTCCTTGAAAAAAATTGAAATATTTGTAAACTTTTTAGCACTATTTATGAGTATCGGTAAGGATACTTTTTTTTTGTTCTTACTTGGGATTATACATATTAATGTTCTTGATAGGAACCATAGTGGACTAGGTGCTTGGAAGGTGCATGTGATTTTTAAATTCCATGGTTTGTAGTGGTGAAATGATTGTGTACTTATAATGCCTGTAAATCATTTCTCAGTTTAAAAAAAAAAAAAATCTTTATTTAACTGCTTGTTCCACAGTCTACATAATTTTTTGTCTGTATTTAAATGTTGACAACAATAGATGCCTGATATTAGAAACATCAATAAACATGGAGAATATGCGGTTATATCTTTCTGCATCACAGTTTAGATTTTAGGTTTGTCTTGAGCAGTTACATCAATGCTGAATATTGTTTCTTCGTCCAACTAAACATTTTTAATTTGTATTGTTTTTTTTCATTGCTTTCCATCCATAGCCATGGGGGGTTCAAGAAAAGGTAAACGGAAGAACAAAGGAAAATCTAAACCAAATAAGTCTGAGACTGCCGAACAAAAGTCGGAAGCACTCAACCCTAAGCTTGATCTAGGGCAAGCATTGAGCAGCAACCCCAATGGGCCTTCTAATATTGAGGACGAGAGTCCTCAGACAGATACGAATTTCAATTCGGCCGCAAAAACTCCCATGAATCTGGAGGTCAACTTTGAGAGATTCCTTTACATAAAGCTCAATCAATCATATAACACGGCTCTAGAACGTCTCTTGACCTTAGGATACAGTGAACCCGATGTAGAAATAGCTATCCTGAATGCTGGATACGTTCATGGGTATACAGACCTCGTGAATAAGGTCATACACAATGTCATTGGGTTTATTGAGGAAGTCTTCAACCCGACTACAGAACCTTTTGGCGACATGGATGAGTTATGTAAAACTATGCTTGAAGAAATGGTTAATTACGTCATGCAGACACGGCCTGACATGCAAAGGTCCGAAGCTGTGTGGCATCTTTTAGTTATGAGGTGGGACCTCATCTCGTCTGCCAATACAACTTGTAGCCACTGTGAAACTGAGGATGCATGTATCTTTGAAAATCTTTTCTCCGAGAAAACTCAATCCAGTTTGAAGAATGATTCATGGTTTAAGAAAATGGGAAGTTCTAAACCTATCGATCATTTTGGTGATACAGAGGATGATTTAAAAATGCTTGTTATCCCAAGCACCAGTGGAGAAAAATCAGAGGCATCGCGTATTTTAAGCAGGTCAGTGTTGGAAGAATGCTCTGATGGTTTAAAAACACGAATGATTGCTGATTTGGTGACTCAAATCAGGGGCTTACAGGAGGAGTTGAAGTGTCGGACAATGTGGGCCCAGCAGAAAGTGATTGACTGGGCAAAAAAGTTGACTGCAACTGCATTGGAGCTTCAAGAGCTACGGATGTTTGAAGGTGAAGGGGTCAAGGGAAAAAGTAAAGACGAGAAAACGCATCTGATGACGTTCATGGTGAAGCTGCGGGAAAAAGAGAAATCTCTCGAGCAAGCAAACCGCGAGGCAAGTATTGCGGAAAATGCTGTGAAGAAGATGGAACTTGAGAATAGCAAAATTAGATCTGAGATTGATGGATTTAAGCTGAATAATTTGGAATCCAAGAAGGAATTGAAGAAAGTTGCCAAGAGAGAGAAAAGGCGCTTGAAAAGGCTTGTGGAGCTTGAGAGGCAGACTAATGTATTGCGCTTAGAGTGTGACGAGGAGAAACAGAGGGCGTTGCAGCTGAAAGAGGAGTTGGCTAAAGTTGAGAAACAAGCTGAGGATGCTGAGGTGTGTCCTTTCATTGACGTCGAAGTTATTTCTAACTTAAATGATCATTTTACATACATGGTTCTTACTTCATTTAATTTTTCCGTCTTGGCGGAATTATGGGATGGTCTCCTTCCCAATTTCTGCATATTTTTGTCTGCTGAGTGATGCATTTAAGAATAAAGATTGCATATTACTATATTAGTGAACTTTTCTCGACTTTTTATGGATTAACATATCAAAGATACATCAGATTGTTCTGCTTTATATGGTGCAATTTGACATTTGTTTAATCTTTGTTACTGTATCAGTCTATTTCGTCAGTTTAGTATTGAGGTGCTGTTCTAAGCAGTGTTGCTGTCGTTAAGTGAGCTTATGAAAGAAAAGGCTTTGTGACCACTTACAAAGTAAATTTACATCACAATATCTTGCGAGTTTGTTAGACTTGTCCAAATACTTCCTACTTCTATTGAACTATATTTTACAGCATGATCATGCTTTATCGATTCCTATATATGTTAGGAAAAATCATAAAATAATCTCATTTTGGCTCCTAATTGCAGGAGAAGTGGAAGCAGGAAGTTAAGTCAAAGGAGCACATTCTGGCTCTTGTGGCTCAAGAAACTAAGAATTTGGAAGACCAAAAAGCCAGCTCGACTGCCCACCTGGAAAAACTGCAGCAGCAACTCAAATCAGACATTCAGCAGGCACAGAAAAAATGCTTAGCGCTCGAGGACGAGCTGTCCCGTCTCCGCGAATCTCTTCCAGTTGAGGATTTATTGCCAGAGAACTTGGATTTCCTGTACTGCTATGACAAAGCGTCATCTTCCGGATCAAGGGAGACGAAGATGGTGGACCACTGGACATGCATGATTTGCATGGTAAATGAGGTGAGCGTACTTTTCTTGCCTTGCAAACACCAGGTGGTTTGCTTTCCGTGCTACGAACGGAACTGCAACGCAGTGGGGCCACACTGCCCGTATTGCCG